GGACCTTCCCAGCTGAGGTATCCTCTTGCTTTTATCTGACACATGTGGGTGTGGGGCCAGCCCGTCTGCACCTCTGCCCCTCCTACCAGTCTCGATGTGGCTTCTTCTTTAATTTTGTAGTTAATAGGACTTCCATTCAACTCAATGTCAGGCGGTCTGAATGATGGTAGTTCTGCAGCTTAGTTGTAATTTTGATGTGGTTGTGGGAGGAGGTGAGCACCACGTCTATCCATGCCACCATATTGACTGGAAGCTGTCCATTCTTTTTTTAGCTCTATCTCTATTCTTTTTTAATTTTAATCCCCTTCCTTTTTTCTGCCCAACCCCTCACCATCTCCCCTCTGGTAACTATCAGTTTGTTTTCTGTATCTATGAGATTGCTTTGGTATTTTTTGTTTATTTGCTTTGTTTTTTAGATTCCACATATAAATGAAATCATATGATGTTTGTCTTTATCTCTCTGACTTATTTCACTTAACATAATACCATCTAGGTCTCAGGTGGCAAGATTGTATTCTCTTTTATGTTTGAGTAATATTCCATCATATAGATACATCTTTTTTTTCCCTTTTAATCCTCACCCTAGAACATGGAGAGAGAGAGAGAGAGAGAGAGAGAGAGAGAGAGAGAGAGAGAGAGAATATGAGAGAGAATATGAGAGAGAAACATCAATCAGCTGCCTTCTGCATGTGCCCCAACTGGGGATTGAACCAGCAAGCCTTTGGTGCACAGGCAGACGCTTAACCAACTGAGCCAGGGTATATACATATTCTTTATTTATTCTTCTATTGATGAACATTTCTTGGCTATTGTAGATAATGCTTTAATAAGCATAAGGGTGTATATATTTTTTCTAATTACTGTTTTCTTTCTTTTACTTTTCAAATAAATCCCCAAAAGTGGAAATGCTCGGTTATATGGTAGTTCTTTATTTTTTTAGAAATCTTCATACTGTTTTTTTTTTTAGTCTCACCCGAGGACATTTTTTCATTTTTTGTTCAGATAGAGCGGGAGGAAGAGAGAGAGAGAGAGAAACATCGATGTGAAAGGGACACATTGAGTGGTCGCCACCCACACGACCCAATCAGGGCCGGGGACAAACTGCAACCGAGGTACGTGCCCTTAGCGGGAACCCAACCCGGGTCTCTCTGGACCGCAGGCCGTCGCTCTAACCGCTGAGCCAAACCGGCCAGGGCTTCATACTGTTTTCAATAGCATTCTACGAAAATGTCTATTTCTGAAAATCTGGAAAATTCAGAAAAATAGGAGAAATAGTAAGCAATTTACTAATCTGCCTTGACGGTTAAAGCACCTAGAATACTTTAGTTTTTCCTGTGTTTGTTTTTATGACACTGAGAAACTAGGTAAAAAATAATCCTCTAGCCGTGGTTGGTTTGGCTCAGTGATTAGATTTGATTGGCTCATGGACCAAAGTGTCTCAGATTCTATTCCTGATCAAGGGCATGTACCTAGGTTGCAGGTTCAATCCCTGGCCCTGTTCTAGGTTGTGTGGGAGGCAACCAATTGATGTATCTCTTATATCAATGTTCCTCTTTCTCTCTCCCTCCTTCTCTTCCACTCTATCTAAAAATCAATGGAAAAAATAGCCTCGAGTGAGGATTAACAACAACAACAACAAAATAATAATAAACTTCAAATAGATATTTAAATGGATCTATGGCTTTATTTTATGTGAGACCACAACAACATCTTTTGGATTTGGGGGATGGTCTAAAGGAAAGTAGGATATGGTGAGTGAACCAAGTAAAATCCAAGAGAAACTAAATCCAGGCCTGTGCAATGACTTACACAACCAATTTTTTCTGATCATTTCAGCAAAAAATACTGAAACAGCAGTCATATCAATAAGAAAAAATAGGATGAGAATATGATGTGTAGATAACCTTGCACTTAGAGTAATCACTACTCAATGAAGGCTTTTATTGAAGATAAACATTCTTATATTCCAGTGGCAAGCACACAACCTATGCTATGTTGATCTGATTACAAAGATGTTCTTAATGGAGAGCAATTCTCTGTGACAAATGCATCTCTAGTTTAGTAATATGCTCTATCAGTTAACAGATACATGATTTGAACCACATAGAACTGTAGTTTAACCTTCCAGTTAAATTTCTTCAGAGATGATTGTTCTCATGCAGTTGACATATCACTGCAACATGGGACTGTCACTTGCACAAGGGACATCATCCCCACCACGCACCACAGCCCTCATCCAGTTGCTTATCATCCCACATCAGAATCTGCAATAACTCCCAGCTGGTATCGCCTCTTTTATGTAAAGTCTTACAAATAAAGTACATTTCAAAGATTAATGCAACAAACCCATGTATGTATGTCTGCCATCAAAAATGAACAAATGTTAACATTTTATTTCTAAATATGTGTGATAAACATACAGACATATTTAATGAAACAAAGGAAATTGAAAATAATAGATAGAATTGAAGTCATTTTTGATCAGCACAGGGGGTTAAAACTGCAGCGGATGGTCAACCAGTGTGGCTCAGGGGATGAGCGATGTCCTGTGCAACAAGAGGTCACCAGTTCCGTTACTTATCAGGGCTTGATCACCAGCAGGGGGCATGCAGGAGGCAGCTGATGGGTGTTTCTATTGCTCCCTCTCCCTGCTTTTTTATCTAAAAATCAATTAAAAACATATTTAAACACACACACACACACACACACACACACACACACACACACAGAATAAACTGCAGCATGTGAAACTCGGGAGGACACAGTTGGATCCACAGCAGCTGCTTGCTTGCTGCAACACCAGAGCCTAGTAGTTATGAGACCATGTGGTCTGCAAAGTCTAGTCACTCTCTACCCCTTGACAGAAAATGTTTGCTGACTCCTACTATACTGGTGAACATGTTTGACAAGGAAAATATGCAAAATATATTCTTAAGTGAAAAGATTACAAAATTCAGTTGGCCCTTAAACACAACAGGGTTAGTTGCACCAACACCCTACATAGTAGAAAATCTGTATAAAACTTTTTTTTTAATAATTTTTTTTATTAATTAATTTTTGTTACAGATGTTTCTCCTTTTCCCCCCACTGATCCCCCCTCCCCCTCCCTCCCTGCCCTTTCCCCAGATTGTTGTATAAAACTTTTAACTCCCTCCAAATTTAACTACTGTTAACTGGAAGCCTTACTGGTAACATAAACAGTCTATTAACACATATTTTGTATGTTATATATATTATATACTGTATTCTTATGATAAAGTAAGTTAGAGAAAAGAAAATGTTACTAAAAACTCAGAAGGAAGAGAAAATACATTTACATACAATATTCATTGCAAAAAACAATCATGTATAAGTGGACCAATGCCATTCAAACCTGTGTTGTTCAAGGATAAACTGTAATACCTTTTGGAAAATTATCTCACTTGAAAATGTCTACATATGAATATAAGAAAGACTAAAATTATACTTCACAATATTAATAATGGAGATACCTGAAGATTAGCACTGTGAGTAATTTTTATTTTCTTTTTGCTTGTATATGTTTTCTACTTTTTCTGTTATGAGTATGCATTATATTTATAATTATAAAACCAAAATATTATGCAAGTATGATGTTTAAAAAAAGAGACTATTATGTAGTCATTGTATGTGGTAGAAATGAATTTCACGCCGTGTTTATTCCAGCTTCTAGTATACGTCTCTGTACTGTAGAGGTTGGAAAACTAAAAGCCACATTTTCTTAACTCCTTTGCAGTTGAGGGTCTGGATACAAATTACATTCTACCAATAGATGAACCTGCATGAGGAGGAGACTGTTATCTGCAGCTTTGTCCCCTTCTGCAGGGGCCCTCTGGTGGGAATGGGTGAGGGGCCCTGAAGCAGAACCTCAGCATTTATCTTAGAGAGAGTGGTGGGGTGGCTGACTCACCTCCGGATTGAAGCTATAACAGAAAGGTTTTGAAATCAACAGTTCTAGCAGTGACTTGATGATTCCTCCCTTCCTGATATCATGGAGATTGCAGCCCCCGTGGGAGGCCAATTTCGCAACTAGGAATCAGTTTTTGACACCTTGCCCAAAGGCAGTCTTTCCAGCTATTTTTATACTTCCCTAAATCTTTCTATGTCTATAATAGCTGATTATGTGTTTTCTTGAGAGAACCATGACTGACATAAGAGTTCATAAGCAATCTGTGGACAAGCTTGTGCTGAAAAAAAAAAACATTTTATGGCAAGTTAAATTAAAATTATTTAGAGACATCAATATTTCAAGTTTCTTGGAAGAGGGGAGGCTAAGACACATGTATCTGTTCTCTTGGTTCCCTATCTACTGGGATGGAAGAAGGTGAGGTTTTTATTTCTTCCTCTCAGTTATGGATTCCTCTGTGTTACTATCTACTCCCATCCAAATAGCTCAAACAGTGCATCTGACAGTCAGGCAGGACTTTTCGGAGGAGGTTAATGTGGTCAGAAGGAAACACTTAGTAGATGGTTACAGTGGGTGAGTCATGCAAGAAAAGCTGGAGCTGGAGAATCCTAGAGGGAGATTGTAGGAAAGTTGGTTTCAAGTTACCCATCCTGGACAGGGCATTTGGCGAACAGTACAGCACAGTGTAGTATGCAGAGTGAGGCCTTGGAAACTGCCCCACATTCTAGCTTTGTAACCTTAAGTGAGTTATACAACTTCTCTAAAGCTCAATTTTCTCATTTGTAAAGTGAGGGATCATAATGGTACTTACCTCAGTGGTTTGTTGTGTTATAGAAAATAATGCCTATGAATGTGTATCAGTCACTAGGCACAGCCTCACGCACAGTGTGGCCACCATAAGTGAGGCTGTCATGAAACTCTCAAATATTACTGTTGTGAGTACAGAGAGGGGAAACCATCTGTAAGTACTATCCCCATATAAGTTGCTACTCATTAAATGATGTTAGATTGAATAGCTTGAAAAAAGTTGGATAGTACAGACTTGTCTTCACTATGAGGCATTTATGAAGTAGAAATGGATATAGACAAAGAACTGGAAATGGAAAGTGATAAAGCTGGAGCCCTAGAAGAATCGAAAATGAGGCCAGACAAACAAGCAGAAACATGTGAAGGTGATCCTAATGGTAAGAGGGAGGGAAGAGGGTTGCCTTAAGGGACCTATGTGCTCAGGGAGTACATAGTAGTATAGGACTAAGCTGAGAAAATTGTAGTTTTAAAAAATTTATATAAAGGATATGTGTAATCACATGATGCTTGACCTTCTGTTGAATGTGATTATTCAAATTAATACATCATTTATAAGACTACATTTGTGAGCTCTAAGAATGACACAGATCTTCCCTGTAGTATATAATCAGAATTTTTATTTTATTATTATTATTTTTAAATTTCATTATTTTATTTTTTAAAGTACAAGTACTTTTTTTTTTTCTCTTTATTGACTTTTAGGAAAAGAGGAAGGGAGAGGGAGAGAGAGATAGAAACATCAATGAGAGAGAACATTGATTGGCTCCTTCCTACATGTCCCCCACTGATGCTCAGGCCCACAACCTGGGCATGTGCCCTGACCGGGAATCGAACCGGTGACCTCTTGGTGCATGGGTCAATGTTCAACCACTGAGCCACACCAGTCAGGCTTATTTTAATTTAATTAAATTAATTTTATTTGCTCTTTTGTTCAGAGAGTCCACTATTACGGGTTCTGTCCAGCAATGTGACTCTCCTGGTCCCAGAGTTCTTGGATCCAGCACTTACACCGGATAAGGCCTTTACCCATGATGTCAAAAACATACAACACATGTCTGCAGAGGAGTCCAAAGTTCCACAGCCCGAGAACATATTTCTCCCTGAGCAAGATGGTGACATCTCCAGTTTCTCAGCAAAACCCATGCAGCCCAAGAAAGGCGACACCCAGAATTCCTCAGCAAAAACCATCTGGCCCAAGCAGGGTGACACACCCAGTTCCCCAGGCAAAACCATCCTGCCTAAAGAGGGTAACACCTTTAATTCATCAGAAAAAAACACTCTTCCCAAAGAGGGTAACACTGCTAATTCCTCAGGAAAAAACACCCAGTCCAAACAGGGTGACATCTCCAATTCCCCAACCAAAACTATCCCACCCAAGCAGGATGACACGACCAGGTCCCTGGGAAAAACCACCCTGCCTAAAGAGAGTAACACCCCTAATCCCTCAGAAAAAAGCATTCCATCCAAGCAGGTTGATATCCCCAAATCCTCAGCAAAAACCACCCTGCTCAAGCAAACTGACACCTCTAAGTCTTCAGCAAAAACCATCACGCCCCAGCAGAGTGACACCCTTAATTCCTCAGAAAAAAATATCCTGCTCAAGCAGGATGACACCTCTAAATTCTCAGAGAAAAACATCATGCCCAAATGGGCTGACACCTCCAATTCCTCAGTCAAAACCATCCTGCTCAAGAAAGATAACACTCCAAAGCTCTCAGCCAAAGTCATTTTCCCCAAGCCGGGTGATGCCCCCAGATCCTCAGAAGAAACCATCCAGCCCAAGAGAGAAAACACCCTCAAGTCCTCAGAAAAAAACATTTCACCCAAGCAGGGTGACACCTCCAAATCTCCAGAAGAAACCATCCAGCCCAAGAGAGACAACACCCTCAAGTCCTCAGAAAAAAACATTTCACCCAAGCAGGGTGACACCTCCAAATCTCCAGAAGAAACCATCCAGCCCAAGAGAGAAAACACCCTCAAGTCCTCAGAAAAAAACATTTCACCCAAGCAGAGTGACACCTCCAAATCTCCAGAAGAAACCATCCAGCCCAAGGAAGACAACACCCCCAAGTCCTCAAAAAAAAACATCCCACCCAAGCAGGGTGACATCTCCAAATCTCCAGAAGAAACCGTCCAGCCCAAGGAAGACAACACCCCCAAGTCCTCAAAGAAAAACATCTCACCCAAGCAGGGTGACATCTCCAAATCTCCAGAAGAAACCGTCCAGCCCAAGGAAGACAACACCCCCAAGTCCTCAAAGAAAAACATCTCACCCAAGCAGGGTGACATCCCCAAATCTCCAGAAGAAACCATGCAGCCCAAGAAAGACATTACCCTCAAGTCCTCAGAAAGAAACATTTCACCCAAGCAGGGTGACATCCCCAAGTCTTCAGAAGAAACCATCCAGTCCAAGAAAGACAACACCCTCAAGTCCTCAGAAAAAGTCATCCAGCCCAAGGAGGATGAAAACCTCAAGTCCTCAGAAGAAACCATGCAACCTGTAGAAGAAGACATCTCAGCGGAAGAAAAAGTGGAGCTCTTGAAGGTCAACATGGTGAAAGTGATCCTGAACAAAGAGGATTTCGAGTTGGCGCTCAAGGAGGCCGGGGAGAGGCTGGTGGCCGTGGATTTCTCTGCCACGTGGTGTGGGTCTTGCAGGACCATCAAGCCCCTTTTCTGTTCCCTGTCTGTGAAGAACGAGGATGTAGTGTTCCTGGAAGTGGATGTTGATGAGTGTGAAGAGCTGGTGAAAGACTGTGAGATCATTCGCATTCCAACCTTTCAGTTTTATAAAAAAGAAGAAAAGGTGGGTGAATTCTGTGGTGCCCTTAATGAAAAACTCAGAACAATCATTGCAGAATTAAAGTAATGCATTCTGAAAGCATTGCAAAGAATCAGCTGTTTATAGCTTGTGATATTTTATTTCCAAAAAAGAGGTATTACAAAAGTGTATGTCCAAATGACACCTAATTATAAATTATGAATATTAACTCTGCCTATTTCAAAAAGTAGTCAAAGCCCTAAAGCATACAGTAACTATATTTTTCTTGATAGGAAAGTGTGATATTAGAATTTCCTTTGGTGGAGATTGGAAGTTCAGCTATGCCCTGTTTTTCAATCTTGATTTTTTTTTTTTGTTCACCCTTGAGCAGTTAAATTATTTCATTTTAGCAGAGGTATTAGAAATTGAGATAATTCTATATAAGTACGCAATTTAAAGAGGAGTGGAAACTTCTCATGTTCACATATCTTTGGGGTTTCTGATAAGATATTTTTGTAAATAAAGAACCTGAGAGATTCACATACCATATCTAACCTTTCTCTTGTACTGGGAGTGCTATGGAGGCCTTGGGAAGTTTCATGGGCCTGACACCCCTGATTCATTGGTGGTAGAGCTGACACCAAGGCCATGCTTCCAGATTTCAAGTCCAGGCCTATCTTACTAATAAGTGTTCACAAAATCTGAGACAGAGCTCAAAACTCTGGTGTCTCAGGCCAAGAGCTTTATTATTCAAATTTAGTGTGATCCTTGGTGCCATTGTGACATCAACTCCCTGGTGGCAAAGTTCCTGTCTTGTCTACCTGGTAACTGAGTTTCTGATACCTATTCCCAGATGTCTCAGAGCCCAAAGGCCTGGGGTCATAGATAGTGGCTTAACCTGTAATCTTATCCACAGCAGACACGTTCAAAAGCCCCCAGTGGATACCTAAAACCACAGAGATTACTGAACCCTACATATACAATATTTTTTTCTATACATACATACCTTTTCACTTGAAGGTTTCTCTTTGGCATATCTGATTGCCAGCATCACTACTCTTGTGCTATTATCAAGCAAAATAAGGGTTACTTGAACATAAGCACTATGATACATGATAGTCAACCTGATAACCAAGCCACTACTCAGTGACTAATGCGCAGGGAGCACATATAAAGTATAGGGATGCTGGACAAGGGATGATTCACGTCCTAGGCGGGACAGAGTGGTATGAGATAAGATTTCATCATGCTACTTAGAACAATTAAAATGTAATCAAGTGTTAAGTTTTTGCAATTTAAAGTTTGTGAATTGTTTATTTCTGGAATATTCCATTTAATATGTTCAGACCACAGTTGACCAGGGTATAACTGAAACCATGGAAAATAAAACTATGGATAAGGGAGGAGTACTATATGTATATATTAAATAACTGCATATATTCATTGTATACAATTTGATGATTTTGGACATATGCTCATACCCATGATATTAACATACTCATCACCTTCAGAAGATTCCCTGTGTATCCTTTTTCTTTTTTTGTATTAAGAGCTCTTAACATGAAACCTACCCTCTTAATAAGTTTTTAAGTGTACAATACCATATTGTTAACTATAGGCACTATGTTGTACAACAAATCTCTAGATCTTATTCATTCTGTATAACTGTAACTTTATACCCATGAAACAACAGCTCGTTATTTCTCTCCCTATTTGTCAGCCACTATTGTATCTTCTGCTGGTTCAGAATGTTTTAAAGAATTTGAACTAGTTGTTAACATTTCGAAAACATTTCAAAAACCAGAAATATGTTAACATATTGGATTTTAGATTTTCTTGAAAAATTGTAAATTATGGCAACCTGGACTTGCATTTCCTCAAGAAACCAATCCAATGTTAGGGGCTGAGTGGCAGCTACCTCTGTTAGAGTGGCATGCGTTCTCCAAGCCACTGCTGAGGAACCTGGCTGGCTTCTGGATCCAGCTGAGTTGCAATCCTTATGTTCAGTTAACCGCAGGAGTGGGACTGCTCCAGCTACTTCCATTGTGTGTCTATCCCGACTCTCCTTAAAATCTCAATCATAGACCTCATTTAAGCCATTAAAAACAACTATCTAACAGCAGCAAACAAAATACTATACATATTTGGCCTTTTTTTCCCTCAAAAGATTTGGAATGATTAATGATAAAGCTAATCAACTAATAAGAGGAAATTAGAAACATGAAAATAAACACTAAGTCAACTCTGGGGGTTCATGCCATTGCTCTGATTGAGTGGCAAATTTTGTCTGATCTTCTTAGCAATGGGGAGGTGTAAGGAAAAAAGGAAAATTCAATTAATACCTGAAAGGAGCAAGCATTGAATTTGAAAAAAGAATCAAAGCTTTCCTGTAACTAAGTTCCTGAATAAAAAATGTTATCTGAGACCTTACGTTTGAGATATTAAACAATGCATAACATTCTTGACAATATTTCTTATAATAAATTCAGAAACAATTTTTATGTGGCTATTCCTGGTAATACTCTTTCATAGAAGCCAAAGCTCTCATAAAGCACTTTCTCATGAGAGGATTCTGGATTCAAGGTATATAAGTATATATTTTCATATATATGAAGTTTTACTAGTGATTCCTATAGCTGTTGTTTTGTTTTGTAGAGAGAACTTACCCTGACTTTCTCATTCAGATTTGTTCCTATTTTCCATATTGAATAAGTCTGGTTTTGATATAAAACTATCTGCTTAGACATTTAGTCCCAGGCTTCAATAAATTAACCCAAGTCCTCTGCTACCAGAGCCCCATTTGGACAACTTAGTGAGCTCCACAACACTAGATTGTGTAATTTGAAGGACCAGGGACCCTGAAACCTAACATGAATGAATTACACCAACTGTTTTTTTCTGGGACTGTAATATATATATATATATATATATATATATATATATATATATATATATATATATATATGTTACTAAGTGATGACATGGACAATGACCTAAAAAAAATCCTTGAAAATAGTTGTAACAGGTTTTTCATGATATTTTATACCATTCCTGGTATACGTCAAAGGAAGAAAGCAAAGCACAACTTTGCAAAGTGAATTCTGTTGTGTCAAGAAAATGTGGAGCAAACAGTGTGGCTCTCTGGTGACGTAGTTTGATCCAGGGACAAAATCTACACTACCAGAGCATCAATTTATGTTCTTCAAACCACTCACCATAAGCACCATTTCTCTTAACTATTGGGGTAACAGTCAAACAGTAACTATGTCAAAGTTATGTTCTCTGGCAGAAAGTTTAAATAAGGACATTCTATTTTGCTAATTAAGAGAAAAATCATGAACTTAAATGAGCCAAGCAATTGTTATCACCTCTGATATTTAACATGAAGGAGATATAAGCATTTTTAAAGAGAAAGAAGATTCCAGATAATCATACTGGCTGTGAAGGATGATAATTTAAAAAGAGCCTTAATTAGAATCAATGGAAAAACAATTTGAATTGATAAGAGAACTCAACGAAGTGATAGTATTCAGAGTAATAGCCAAAAATCAATAGTTTCCTCTTGCCTCAGTGACAAATAACTGGAAATCATTGTGGAGAAGGTTTCATTCACAATAGTGAAAATAAAAGATAATTAAAATAAAATATCTAGCAATAGTACTCAGAACAGTAAGGATTATTAAGTTTAAATGTAAAAATTCTGAGAGGTATAAAACAAGAAACTCTGAATGAATAAGACACAGTTAATTTTCCCCATTGGAGAAAAAAACAGAAAGATGTTGATTCTTTTCACTTAATTTAGTAGACATAATGTAATTACAAACCCACATTTCAATGAGATCATTGGGAGAACTTGACAAGATACTTTAAAATTCACTGAAAATCATAGCTAAAAGTAGGTAAAAAAAGTCTTGATTGATAAGCAATGAACATCCATTTGTCCTATCAGATAGTAAAAATGTATAATTACTTTAGTAATTATATAGTAAGTGTAGTGACACCAATAATAGTATTGATGGAGGGAAAAAAAATCAATGAAACATAATAGCAACCAAGAATCAAACTTTGGTATGTAAGTAGTAATATATGAAAAAGGAAACATTTCAATTTGATGGAATATGAGTGGATTATTTACATTCTGTTTCCATGCCAGACACTAAAATAAATAAAAGTTGTATTAAAGAATAAAATATAAAATATGAATTATTTTAAAAATTAAAGATTTAATTAAATATTAATCTGATTCATAGATGGAAAAGGAATTTTCTAAATAAAAATACAATTAAAGGAATAGATTTGCGTATATTAAAAATTTAAGTTTTTAAAATTTTTTATTTCTTTTAATTTTTAAAAATTTATTAATTTATTTTTGTTACTAATGTTTCTCTTTTCTCCCCCACTGATTCCCCCCTCATCCCCCCGTCCCCAGCTTTTTTTTCCATGTCCATTGTTCATGCATAGATGTATATAAGTTCTGTGGTTTATCTCTCTCCCATCACCCCCTCTTCTGGGGATTGTCAGTCTGTACCCCACTTCCATGTCTCTGGGACTACCCCATTCCTCAGACTGTAATGTTCATTATATTCCACAAATAAGTGAGATCATATGACACTTGTCTTTCTCTGTTTGGCTTGTTTTGCTTAGGATAATACTTTCCAGGTCCCTTCATGTCGTCTCAAAGGATAAAAGATTTTTCTTTCTTACAGCTGCATAGTACTCCATTGTGCATATGAACCACTGCTTTTTTATCCATTCGTCTACTGATGGACACTTGGGCTGTTTCCAGATCTTAGTTATTGTAAATAGTGCTGCTATGAACATGGGGGTACATATATTCTTTCTGAGTGGTGTTTCAGGCTTCTTAGGGTATATTACTAGAAGTGGGATCACTGGGTCAAATGGCAGTTCAATTTTTAATTTTTTGAGGAAACACCATATTGTTTTCCATAGTGGCTGTACCAGTCTGCATTCCCATCCGCAGTGTACTAGAGTCCCCTTTTCTCCACACCCTCGCCAGCACTTGTTTGATGATTTGTTGATGGTAGCCATTCTGGCAGGTGTGAGGTGATACCTCATAGTTGTTTTAATTTGCATCTCTCTAATGATTA